CGGTACTTTACTTTTTCTCACTCATTTGCCCAGTGGAATTGTTTTCACCAGTCAAGTGAGCTTCTATTCTGTTCTCATTTGCATCCCCTGGACCTCAGTTTTTACGTTTGTCCTCTCTCTTTCAAGTCTTCACTTTGCCTTTTCTGTCAATTCTGTTTCTGTCAGTTTCGCTGCCTTTTCTTCGTGGATTTAATAAAGCTTCAGGAAAAAAAACGGCTTTACTGTCCTTGTACTAATTTAATTCCTCACAAGATTGTTACAGGGATAAATTAAGTTTATGGGACAGCACCTTGAAAAAATATTCACTACAAAAATTCAAGATAGATCATTTGACCTTGCAGCTATTATTCTGGTGATATTCCCCCAAAATACTCAACTTTTTTCATATGCCTGACTACTGCACATATGTGGTCATTAAAAAAGCTTAAAGTTCGGACAACTGCTGAGATACAAAAGTCAGCGGCCTTCATTTGTACTGTGGAAAGTCAAAGCTATGTCAGAAGCTTAGAACATGATTCATTATTTTAACTTCAACTCTTGTTCTTGCCCTTCAACCGTTTTTTTCCTTTCTCAGATTATGAAGGAATTATATTATACTTTCTCAAAGAATTACTTTAATGCCATACCATTAGAAACTGGAGCAGTTGCTTGATGTTATTAGAAGTGGCTTTATAGTTTTATAGGCAAATTTTTAGTTTTCATTTTGAAATCCAAATGAAACAATATTGAAAAGCTGGTCCCATCTAATTACTTTTATTCTTGACTACTATTCATGCAGAACTGGGGTACAAGCCAGAGATGCGGAGGGTGAGAGGATTCACCAAAGACAGAGTGGGGAGCAGAACAGGCAGATCAACGAAGTACACTGCTGAGGGGAGCAGGGGGCGGGTCAGGAGAGGTCTGCCATGCCATGTGGTCACCTCCAGGGCAGGTGAGGATCGAACTCATGCGGAAGCAGCTTTAGATTCTCAGTGCTGTGCTTTAACCCACTACGCCACCAGGTAGGGCCCTATTCTTGACTACTTTAAATATCTATATTTGAACCTTAAATGTGAGGAGTTTGTTAAAAATGAAAAGTGTAAGGTCACAACATAAGTGTCATTAGAGAGCAGTAGTGACTGAATCAGGTAGTTACCTAAATAGTACATAAGCATGCCTCATGGAATAAAACATATACAATCAAGTGAATAAAACATTAGATCAATTTCAGACTAAATTTCAATGGATTAGAATTAATTAATGGATTCTAGTAGTTCACCAGCTAAGTTAAATGGCAGGCAGACTCCCTCCGTTACACTTATTCACACCAACATATTTTTAAATACTGTTTAGCAATTCACTCAATAAACAAATCTGTCTAGGGGATGTCTTCATCCTAGGAATCATTGTGTGAAAATTCTAGTATTTTTTAAGTTAACTTAAAAACTCCTGGATATTAGTTTCCTTATCTGAAAAATCAAAGGGTTAAATTCAGGTCAGTTCTCAAAAGCCAAGGTTGGAAACACTTGGAGGGCTTGTTAAACACAGATGGCTGCATCGCACCCCCCACTTTCTGATTCAGGGGATTTGACCCAATTTATTGTTCTAACAAGTTCCCACATGATGCCAATGAAACTGCCCTTCTGGCTCTGAGATCTGTAAATTCCAATTTCTAGCAGTTGGAAATCTCCACCAAGAGGCGCTTCTAAGGACGCAAGGACTTACTTAGATGCACATTTTACTGCCACCACAATAATTTAAGCAAGAAAGGCAGATAACTGCAAGATCTATAAAAGCAGATGTATCATGTATATGATTGCAATCACATGTATATAATATGCATATTATATAAGAAGTGGGATTGTAAGGTTCCAGCCTGTATATTTGCTCACCTTAATTTTTCTATAATAAACATGGATTTTTTTTAGTCCAGTAAGACTATGACTCCCAAAATCAAAAAATACTAATGCAGCCCAAAATGACTATTTGCTTAGCAATTTATCATCAACTTGATTCAAAATTAGCATTAAGAGCACCTAGATATTTTCCATACTAATAGTAACAAGTACAGCTGACATTTTTTTAAACCTATTTATAATCATTGATACTCGTTTCCAACAATTTAAAGCTGAGCTTTTTACCAAATTTAAACCCTTATTATCACTTGAAATAATCTTGTTTCACATCACCTGATAAACAAGACTTTTGGATCATCATAGCCTTTCATAAGAATGGTGAACAAAAAATGATGTAAAAATAAACTTTTTAATAAAAAAAAAAAAAAAAAGAATGGTGAACAAGGCAAGACAATCAAGTGAATAAAACAAGACAATCAAGTGAGCCCAATGGCTTATTCCTTTAAGCCAAACTTCTTAAAAGTCACCCTCAATAAAATTTGGCAAGCTGTAAATATACCTTGTAAGACTCACACTTACCCAACATTTTATTACTGTAGTCACAAGACAACTGAGAAAGTGTCAAATTTGTCTGCTAAAAAATGATGCACGATGTCTGTGGAATTCCCGATACATATCATCCCACTAAAGATATCCCTAAATAAAGGAATTAAGTACATAATACAATGCTTGATAGTATGGGCTTTAAAGAAATAAATGTTGCCTAATTGAACTGTTTATTTTGCTTATCTTTCAACATCTGTTCATCCAGACTTCCCCTCATACGCTTCCATACTACCGACATGCTAATTAGTTATAGACATTATTTTCATATTTAACCCTCTGTGCCCAAATTTTCAGTCTCCTGTTTATTTTAAATTATTGAAACAACACAATCCTCCGAATTAATTTTTTTCCAAATTAGCTTGTAAAAGAAAAATCTGTTTCATTTTCGAGACATCAGTAGCTATATAGTATATGATTTTTATTTTACTGAAAGTCATTTTTTATTTATAATGGGAACTGTAAACATACAACATGGAGAACTGTATAAGGAATACACAAATATGCATTAATTAGATATAACAATAATTTCTATTTTATTTCTGTATCCTCTGAATTTCTGAATTTCTGTATCCTCTCACATTATGCTAACACTAAGTAATTTAAAGAAAACTAAGTTAATCGTGACACTTAACCCCTAATTACACTAGTATTCTTTAAAAAGGACATTTTGCTATAGAATCACAGTTATAAAATCCAAAAAAAATCAACACTTCTCTCATAATATCCAATCCAATAAAAAGCATTTTTCAAGTAGAAATTACTTGCATGAAGAGGGGAAATATAAACCTAAAACACAACCCAGAGGAATTATATCTAAATACTTAATAGTCTATAATGTTTCCTGTGAGAGAAAACAAAATAGCTTCCTTATGAAAGAGAAAAAAAATTGCCATAAAACCATTACAGTTAACATGAACCTGGAATTATTCACAATATTGTAGCTATGTGTACAGGCATGGAGTAGACAATTTATGTTAAAAGGCATATGCTTTTGGAGAATAAAAAATTTTCAATTCTTCAGTTCCTACTAAAATTGGCTTTACATGTTCCTTCCCACCAAAATGGATTATTTTATAGCTAAAACATGAAACAGATAATCCTTTTCTCACAGTAGGCTGAGTACCACTCAAAAATTTCATTTCCAAGGTACTTTTGTTCCTACTTTTACGTTAAGTAGTTGATAAAACTTTTAAGCCTAAGACTATATAACTGGATGTTTGTTATTAAAAAAAAAAATACTAGCAATCACTTAAATTACATGACTTGCTAAGAGTTGGAAATGTACATTTTTCTGATTATGTATTAGAATCTGTATGTTGAATTTAACTGACCTATGTAGAATGTTTGCTTTCCAAAGCTTGCTGATTTTTTTAATGATATTTTTATAGGGTAATGGTGAAAAAATATTCATGATTTTATTAAAATAAAATATTTATAATGGAAACTGTAAACATACAACATGGAGAACTGTATATTACTTTTTCTCACTCATTTGCCCAGTGGAATTG